GTCAACAGCCACTGTCCAGATGCTGATGTTTTGGGGAGGTGGGTACACCCTCACCGGCACCCCCACCCTGCAATCACTATAGAGGGTGGGGCCGTGGGACCGATGGCTGTACACCGTAAGTCCCCGAACTTATTGGGCCCACCGCCCCCTCGTCTTCGTGTGAGCTGTGTGTCAAAAGGAGTTTAAATCTGTTTCAGTTTTACTTTCCCTCCTGTTACAACGCTCAGACCAGTCTCTAGGCCTGATGGGTGCGGAATCTGGAGAGGTGGTAAGGTTGTGGCCCTTCTCCCTTTAATTTTATTTATGATGATGATTATTTTCAACCACCACCCCTTTTCAGAGAAGGACTCAGTACTCCCCCCCTCCCCCACCCTGCCAATGAAAGACCCCCGTACTCTATCTAGTGCCATCACCCAACCCCCTGGATGGTCCCCGCACCACCACCACCACCAGGGGACGGTATCACCCACTTTGGGAAGGATTGCTCTACACACTCTGCAGGCCCCTTCTCTACTGCCCCCAGGGGTTCTGGGGGCCACAGAGTCCTGAGCCCTGTGGCCCAAAGCCCAGGGAGGCGTACCTGGACGTGCAGATGTTGAGGAGCAGGAAGAACAAGGCGGTGCAGCCCATGGTGATGGACAGGCTGATCCTCCTGCCCAGAAAGTTGATGCCGAGGATATTCAGGGGGTTCACTGGAAAGCAAGAACGGGCGATTTTGCCTCAAAGGCTTTTGTCTACCCTGAGTGGGTCACTTCCAGAAGAAGCAACTTCCTCCAGACCCCACCAGTGTCCCAGGCAGTTTTCATTAGCATCAAGCGTCTTTCTACCCAATTCTTACACTCTATGAGAGCTTCCATTCTGAGCACCCATTTTGCAAAAGGCTGTGAATGGCAGGGACAGCCCCAAATCCATTTGCAGGGTCCCACATAGATTAAGTCTCCATCGAATTCTTTCCAATTACTAACCAAGGTAGATTGTCTTGCCCTTAGGTCTTGGGAAGTACATTGAGCTCAACCCACTGCCAGGAAACGCAGAGGGGGCCGTCTCCCTTAGGGGATTCCCTGGGTGTGTCCCTGCTGGAGATCACCTTACTGGGGGCTGCACGGATATTCTAACAGAGTGCGTGTCCCAATCTCGGTCCTGGTCCCCCTTCGGCAGTCCCACCTGTAACAGTGATGGTGGATTGATCTGCTACCAGTCATACATTTGTGGCAGTTCCCTCTGTTCCAGGCCTAATTCAATGAGCAGCCTGCCTGGACTCCTCAGGAGCCATCGCGACCTCATCCGGATGATGTGTTTGTATCTTTGTGTTGTCTTGGTCCCTTTTAAGACTTAATAAAGGTTCTCCTTGAATTATATTTTAGATCAAGCTCTCTTTTGTACTCTAAAACAATATGAGCAACAGTGAGTGGGTGTGGGTGTGGGTGTGTGTGTGTGATCACTCATGCTCCGGGAGCTGGGGCTGCCAGGCTGTTGGTCCTGATGCTTGGGGCCGAGTTTTCACAAGTGGATCACCAGGTAGGTCTTTCTTCCAAGGTGTTTTGACATGGACTCAAACCACCAACCTTCTGGTTGGCAGCTGAGCAAGTAACCACTGACACCACTCCATGATGTCATGCAGAGATATGACAAACATGGACAATGTAGACCTGTCATGTTTTCACTGTTCTTAATCCAATTCAAGATGCCGATAACTTAAAATACACCCACACATGTAGAACTGCATTTTTGATGAAGGAGCCCTGGTGGTGGTGTGGTGACCTGGTTAACCATGTGGTCAGTAGTTTGAAACCACCAGTGGCTCCCCAGGAGAAAGACGGGGCTTTCTAATCTGGGAAACCCACAGGTGCAGTTCTACCCTGTCCTGCCGCATCGCGAGGGCTTGGTAGAACTGGATGACCATGAGCTCTTTTGGTGAAGGTTAGGTGCTGCTGGGTTTTGAGCACCATTATTTTGTATCTTGCAGTCCCTGGATGGTACACATGGGTAAGCGCCCAGCTGCAAGCAGAAAGGTTGGAAGTTCAAGTGCATGTGGAGACATCTCGGAAGAGAGACCTGGCAGAAGTCAGCCACTGGAAGCTCTCTGGAGCTCTGACCCACAGGGAACAGCAGGAGGGGGAATCTGCTTCGTGCAACTGGCTGATCCTGTGAGGGGGAATCAGCAGGTGTCGCTGGTGGGCCTCCAGCTGCTACGTGTCCGTTTATTCCAAACAAAACGTATTCAAACTTGTCTCTGTGCTCAACAGATGGCCTCGGAGCTGTTCTCCAATAATGCGCCTGTCTGAGTCTCCTAGGGTGCTGTCAAAAACAGGGGCATGCACAACAATGGATTCTGAGGGGGTCTTCCAGGCCAGCTAAATTCAAGGCAGAGGTCTGCTCAGAAAGGTATGACAAACTGACTTTGGGGCATGTGTGGTAGTTAATATAATCTCTTGTCAATTTGAGAGGATTAAGAGTGAAGGGGTTGAGTTTAGCCTGTCAGTCAGCTCGCAGCTTGATGAGCTCATTTAAAGGCACTAAGGA